TGTCATTGCTTCTTTTTTGTATAAATGTAACTGAAATATAGGTAGGAATGATAGGTAAATTGATGCAATTCCCAGAAATTAAACACGATGGTCCCCGGGGCGGTCTGTGTGGAAGTCGATTTACCTACTAATATAATACATTTCTAACAATAGAGCCTACCTACCTTATATTTATAACAATCTCTTCTCCCTTTCCTACTACGCCAGCGTAGGTATACTTGTATGTATGACATTTTCATTTCATATATATTGGTACATATTTTGCTGCGTGGTAATTTGTGAATATGGGCGCAGTTAGGAAAAAATACTGCTAGGTATCGTCCATTATAATAATCTCGCTACTCTTCGGTTTAAAATTAGTTGATTCATACAAATTAACACTGTACATTTCAAGTTAATTTTTCTGTCTCTCACAAGTACACAGTCTCACATACAGGTGTTAGAAATAAATAACCTATATTATTGGTACCTGCATACATTAATTTAGTGCGGTCTCTCCGTATGATGATGCGGTATATGTAATAGAAATCATGCGACGTTGTTATAAAAAAAACATGGCATAAAGTTGAGTGGCATCACTTTAGTGCTTTCATTATTTTCTTTTTGTTAATTTTTATTATTAAAATATATTTTTTTTTATAATTAAGTATATAAAATATAAAGAAGTAAAAATAAGTAAAGCAGTAAATAAATATTTTTCTTTCTTCTTATCTTACTATTATATCCAATATCATACAAAAGTACGGCGTTAAAATTTGGTGTTTATCTGGTTTTCACAATAAAAACAATAGAGAATAGAAGAGGCAAAATGCTGGGCCACCTTGTACGACATGACGATTTTTTAAAGAGCATAGTCATAGAAAAAATAGAGGACAAAAGAGGAAGGGGAAGACAGAGACATAACTACATGTGACATTAGGTGTCATGTCGTATAATGAGGTCAAAGATATGGCATGGGATAGAGCTGACTGCAGGAAAATGCATGAATTAGTAGCACCGACAAGAGGAAACTCTCAAATGAAAAGAAGAAGTGGTTTTCATAGTTGTTTCTGAAGGTCTAATCACGGCTAACTTAAAATCTGGTATTAGTTTTATCTCGATACACCATCTAGAAAGGCTTATTCGCTTCAAAATTTTACGTGTACAAAGTTACGTCCAAAAGCTAGGTCCAAATAATAATTAAAGTCAACGTTACAACGTCATCTATAGACAATGTGTGTATGGATGCATTTAGGTATTAAACAATAGCTACCGTTTTGTTGCACTATAACAATTATTTTGCGCGGTTGTACTATGGGCACTCCAAATTTGAACTTAAATGCCATTTTATCATATTAAAAGGGGTAATCGAACTTATTAGTTCGATTACCCCTTTTAATATTATGACGATGAATAACAATTCATCTTTTGGTAAATTATGGCACTATATGTGCCATATTTACGTTACCACATGGAGCGTGGTAACGTGAATTAAAAAAATAAATCTTTTTTTATAATCATTAGATATATTACATTTTTAAAAAGTTAAAATAGTAAGCTAAAATGTAGTTATAACAGTTTATTGGAGATACTTATAACTACAGATTTAAAAACAGAATTTATTTCTCCGTTGTATTAACAATTAGCCTTTTCAGTAGAAACGGCTAGATTGTGCTGAAAGTTTCATAAATATTAAGCTAAGTAAAGATCAACATCAATAACATAGAAGTTAAATTATTACTATTATAAGTATCTTTTCAATAAATGACTTTTTTAAATTCCATTTTTATGTAGACTATTGACTCTAATTGACTGTAGATGACATAAATAAGTGTACAAAATCTGTGCCACGAAGTTCGTTGCCGCTAATTTTTAAAACCGATAAAGAGATTTTATTGAAATTGTGTGAATTATTATTGTTTCCTCCAACTTGAAAAATATATTATTATCGTTTTATTATTTTATAGATTATAAGAAGAAAATTATCCGGAAAGTGGTGAATGAAGACCAAACAACGTTTACCGGGTTAACTAGTATATTATAAAAAAATAAGTGCCAGAGGATATGATCTATACGATAACACAAAGAGAAAATAGGCAGCCAGCATTGGAAATAAATTTCTGTATAAAAAAATCTCTATTTATATGTAAATATCCATTACTACTACTTATTATTTTAACTATAAATTTATAAAAAAAAATATAGAATATTTAACTACCACGTAGACAAAGTCAGGCTTCAGAGTAAAGCACGGAAAAATAAAACTTGACGTAGTCTATATTTTTTAGATATAGTTTTATTTTCAGAATAATTTAGCATAATTAGATATATTCTTATCACATGTATCAATTTAAAATGATGTCACTGCACTCAATTCTATGAAACAATCTGAACAAAATTAGGAAAACTACAATAATAATTTAAACATTTATTTAATTTAAGTGAACGTAATCATAATTTAAATGTGAATAAAACAGAAAGAGCTGCCAAATATAAACCATTTTTTGTGATAGTGAACAATAAAAAAAATACTATGTAAGTACTATGTAGTTGCGATTTAAAAAATAATGAAGATAATATATTCATATTTGACACTAACTGCCTAACAATATTGATATTATTATTCTAAAAAACAATCTCTTTCAGAAAAGCTCTACTTGCCTTCTTCTAGGTTTGTGACTAGTATGGCTTTTGGATTGAAGGGATAGGGCAGTGACTCTATTCGACATGGAGGCGTAACATTCTTTAGAGTGACAGCGCATGGTAATATCGTTGGAATCATAGTGTATGATGTGATTTTCACGATGCTTGATATTTTATCTTAATGCTTTGCGATGGCTGCCTTGCGTTTTTCCATCGAGCGGCTCAGCAGCTCATTTGTTATTCTAAGTTGAACAAAAATAAGCAAATTTTCCAAAGTATTTTTTTTCAATAAAACAATAATAATTTTCATAAAAGATTTATGCTTTTGATCTCTTGAACTTTATTTTGGTCACATTACCTAGGTAACAATTATTTGTCATATTGACGTCGATTTTCAGTCACTGACCCTAAAATGATTTAAAACTGATGTCTTATTTGAGTTGCAGACGTCACCTTGCTATCTGGGTACTGTATATAATTACCATCTGTATTCGAGTAAGTACTGGTACACCTATTTTTTTTATGCAACTTAGAATGGCAAACGAGCTGACGGCGCATTTGATGGAAAATGGTAACCGTCGCTTATAGACATGAGCCGTACCATGGACATAACAGAGTATACTGTTTTGCCCACGATACCCCCCATGCGATACCATTCCTGAAGCCTCAGGAATGGTAAGCCATGCTTTATTTTCTCTAAATTTTATGACTGTTAGACAGTTAGTGTTGTAAAAAATCTGTATCAGCATAGTAAGACAAAATAGGTTAAAAACATTGAAATAACTATCAAATGTGTGTATCTTGTCATCAATTGAACAAACGTGCTAGAACTTCATAAAACTTTTAATACCTATACCTTTCAAATTAAATAACTAGGATTTTTGAGAGGATGATTATAACAACTATGTTTATAGGTAACTACTAAAACCATTAATTCCATGTATGAAAATAGGAGTTAAACATTATCATTAGAATTAAACCTATCTTTGTTTATTATTAAATATCCAATTTTCATATCTGTAACCATGTCACTAATTGAATTACCTAAGAATCTATCCAGCTTACAAGAGAATTAAGAGGTAATATTAATCCCTATGATTTAATTATTTATTATATAGATATTATTGTTTTTCTCTCTGTTTGTTTTACAGTTTTAATAAGCATCTCGCCCATTGTCATAATGTTCGATATGGGTACATCTATTTTCCCTTATATATATGAATGGCCGTTTGGCTGACTTTTACAATTACCAATAAGAATAATTGTTCATATGATTATTATTATAATTTTTTATAAATGATTGTTCGTATGTGCGACAGAACATACAAAATTTTGCACATCTGCAGAATACCGATATGTATCGAAATATTTACAAAATTGTTATTTAGATAATATAATTAAGTAAGCTGGAGCCTACGCTACAGCTATGCTGATTTGTACGTAGGTACTTTAATACTACATACTATGTAGTATTACATACCTTATACTTTAGGTTTCTAAAGTCTTATTGGCAATTGAACAAACACGAATAATATTAAATTTTGTATGTATTTGTGTATAAAAATGATCATCATGATTAATTTAATATCTATTGTTCTACCAAAGTTATTCATGATGTTTCCTCATGTTATATTTTCAATAGAAGTAAAAGCCTGCTTTTTACAGCTAAATATCTTAAAATCTTCCACTAATACCTAATGACTCTAAACAAGATAGGTTACAGGAAATTGCTAAGAACATGTTTAGGCTTATTTTCTACTAATATCATCAGAATAGTTTCTGTCATCTATTGTCTTATATATAAATAGAAAATGAAAAAACTGCAACTTAATAATGATTTCTTTATCGGGATTTTTGTTTACTTATTTAACTTTCATGTACATAATATTGGTACACACGATGGGTATAACATTTAAAGTCGTTCTCTAATTGTCAAACAAGGGGTAACCAGAGAAGTTTATTGATGGATGTAAGACAATTTGTTTATAAGATTTTAGTAGGTTAACTAAAACAATAATATAAAAGCATTTATAAACTATATTGTATCTAAATCTGACGTATCGAAAACGTCATAATTATTATTAATTTTAATAACATTCATGAACATGAGACATTCATTAAGCTTTTGAAGAGATGTTTTGAAATCACGCCACATATTACTGTTCTTTAGTTGTAGTTTAAAAAATGATACATATGACAACTTAACCTTTCAGTGGAAGCCGGACGTATGTAAAAAAAATCATGTCTGGCTACAGAGAGACCATGTAGAGGACGTCCAGGCGGCGCGTTGATGTCTTTTCATCGTGCCGCTTAAGGTCCATAGAAAGTACGACTTATGTAGTTAGTTGTAAAAATTACATTAGTGAAATTTGACTTACTGCTGAAGTAAGACGTGGACTCCATAGAAAGAGCAGGAGCGCGGCGGGCACGAGATGGAGCGCGGTGCGGCGCACACGCGCCGGGCCCGTCATGGCTGCGCCGTACTACTGGATGTGCGCCCTCGCCTCTGGCCCAACTTTGCAGGCGTTAGGCCCGCACATCCGCGGGGCGGGGGTGCGCACGCTGCCACCCGAGCACTCCTCCTTCCTTTAGTATCCCGGCATAAACGGCGCGCGCGCACGGGATTCAAGCGCAGCGCGCTCCGGGCCATGGCGGTCCCCGTAATATGGTAAGGCAAATATGTAGAAAGTTTAACGCAGTAAAACATTTTTTTTTTCTTAAAATATCTTCTCGGAGAGATATATATATCTAATGATCATAATATAAAATTAATTACTGAAATTGAAATAAAGGTTTTTTTTTAATAATATTTAATAAAAATCTTAATTTGGTAGGTTAGTGGCTGCAATAGCGCCGCTTCTGGGAGTTAATTCAGTGAGTATCTTTAATATTATTATTCTATTAGGAATAACTTTTTTGCTACTTATTAGAAATATTTTTGCGAAGTGATTAAAATTCGCATAAGAAAATAAACCAACGGGAGTGAGCCGTGGTTCAGCGGGCGAATGTAGCGGGCACGGCGGTGCCGCAGCCGCTGTGACCGTTCGCCTGTCTGCTCGGACTCGTTGTCCTTTTGGAATTTCTTTAGTTCCAGATTGTATCCAAAATCTAAGTTTCAGTGTTAACTGTTATGCTAAATTCATACAAACCCTATCTACGGGTCATCTGTTATAATTGATATTTCCAATTTTAAATTATAATTAATTTTAAATTATATATTAATATTATTTATTACTTATTATTGTTCCATATAGTTACCTAAATATTTTAATTTTAAGTAGGCAACTATTTTAATATGCTTAGGTCAATGTAATGTAAGACCAAGATTCTTAAATAGACAATGATATTATAACGTAATAGTAGACCGACAAAGTTTATCGCCGCTCGGATGTGGAACGTCGGCATTGCGCAAACATTAACAATATTCCATATAATAAAATTACTTAGGTAAAGAATAAAATTAATTACTAAATAATATGTGACATACTATAATTAAAGTGGACCACAGACTTGTGTTAACGTGATCTGTTTCTATTTAAAAAAATATAACGTCATAAAATATGTATGTACTATAAACAGTTTTCTTCTGATTTTTTATTTTGTGCTACTAATATTATAAATATTTTAATGTTTGCTACTCGATCACGCAACAGATTTAAATAAAATTTGGTACTCCGGTATTTAATATTGTATTTATTAATTAAGAAAATTTAACAAGTACCTACTTCATATACGAATTCATGTGGACAAAATTATGGTAAAAAGTTAATTTTTAATAATTTGCTGGTAGAAAATACCTTAAGTATTGATCCACTTTCATAACACGTTTTATTTGTAAATAATATTCAAAGTAAAATTTTGATGCACATTGGCAATAAAGATAATTAAGAGTAACAGCGGTAAGCCTGTCCTAAGATGTTATATTACGTTAGACGAAAATATATTTGCCAAGTCGATTGTTACATACGTTACATTTACCACAATAGTAACAATCGTAAATGCTAGTTACTATTCCTTCTGAAGTAAAAGCTGTGGTCATATTTTTTTGTACATTCGTGTACTATTTTAAGTAAAAATTTCGAATTTACGAATATATTTAATGAGAATATTAGCTCTATATTCCTATATTTCAATACGATTTACTGCTTATATTTTATGTGTATCATATAAAATAAATAGTAAAAAGTAATTTCTATCTGGAACAGTAATTATTTAGGCAAGCCATTAAAAATAGTATATTTTAATAGATTTTTATAATGATTTAATATAATGCTCCCGTATATTGAAATATCTGTAAAAACAAATCCATAATTTCTACGAAAATCCTAAACTTTACCAAACACCTCAATTTATTATGCTTATTTTTATTTATATATGTACATTTTTTTGGTGTTTATTACAGTTATTGATCGATGCATTTATCGACAATCAAAAACAATATTAATAACTAATAAAAATAAAAACTATCCACCATTATAAATTTAAGGTTAATAATATTAATAATAAAAAATATTAATAAAATTAATCAAGAATAAGATATGAAATAATACATTAAAATATGAGTATTGGTTGCATTTTCTTGTTTTTTTAGACCATATGCTAATACCCTTAGATCAATCAATCGATTACTATATACTCTTTATTTATATTATATGGTACATAATTTTTAATTTTATTATTATTTATATTATCTAGAGTATAGAATTATAATCTCTCTAGTGTTGTGGTGGCGTTTCTAAAAAAAATATTGTATATATTCATCTCACAAACCTGTAAACATCATTATTTCTTTTTTATCAAGTAGGATAATTAAATTGTATTGCTTTATTTCACCTCTTTTTTTTGGTCTAGCCACATATACTCAACTGTGACATTCCTTATTATTATCTCGATCACTCACCTTTTACACTCCTTGTTACATAATTTATATTTTTTCACTTATTGTCTGTAGCTTTTCCGTTGTAAATACCTTCTGTATTACATGTAAGTACATAGAGCTTTCTCTTGAACGTTCATATAACACAGAAGGTAGTAAGTTGTATGTATAGTTTATAACAGATATGGTGTGGTAGGGTATAAGTTATACCTTTATAAAAGAAGAAGATGAAATTTCGTGTGCTTGGGTACCTCTGTCCCAACCACATTTCTAGTGCGAAGCAGTTATCTTTGCATGGGTGTTTTGGTTTGAAGGGTACGGCAATGAAATTTGAATTTGAGAGACATGTACCGAATTTTTACTTTTTATTCCGGTCAGTGAAAATATTGCGGTCACGCGGATGAAGTCGCGGGTAAAAGCTAATTAAAAATAAATCACTCACACACATTCAGTGCATTAAGAAGGTCTATGTTCAGTGGGTGAATATTTTCATAGTTCATTGCTGAACAGCGGACTCGCCCACTCATTGCGGAAATATATTTTTTTTTATATCGTACGGGTCAGTTGGTTGGTCTGATTAAACCGATGACCTCTTAGTTCTACGTTGATAGATTATTTAAATTAATGCTTTTAAAATATTTAATATTATTGTATACTAGATTTTAGCCGCGACTTTGCCCGGATGATAATTTTATTGACCGGGATATAAAGTAATATATTACCTTCCCTATTCCATATAGTATACATGTATACAAAATTCAATTGGCTAAGTCGTTCAAGTGCTAAGAGGTAACAAACAAACTTACTTTATAACATTAAGGCCATGATCTTTAATAAAATAATAATAAATAAAATATTGAATAATTTATATAGAATAATTTTAATCTTCTTATCGATTCATGTATCCAGTCACCACAACGCCCTTAAACCAGTATTATGTGAAATCATATGAATGATTTATCCTTTTTATACTAATATTGATATATTTCATTCAATCAAGTTCTAAGTAAATTCTAAAAAAAAACATCGGAATCAATTTGTGTATCTAATTAAAGTTTTAATCTTCGGCTTAATATAATGCACTTTTTGATAGAATAATATGTGACATAATTTGCAGTTCATTCAATAATGAAGTATTCAAATCTTTCTTTTATTATATTGAAAAGAGTAAAAAGTTAATTGTCCACCGGATGGAAAGTAAAACCACCATAAGTGCATGGGAATATTAATGATAATGAGAATATGCATAGATGGCAATATTATGACGTAGGTACATGATCACACATTATGGTCAAGTTACAAGTTAGGTACAAGTTTTCTTGTTATGTCTTCAAATTTAGACAGAAACACAATCAACGCTGCTGCATCGCAGAGATAAATAAGGTTGGGTAAACTCATTTAGGTGACTTATAAAATTTTGCCATCAATACTTCTCTATTTTTATCTGGACCTTCATTATCATCATCATATCGGTTGTTATCTGTCCACTGCTAAAAATAGGCCTCCTCCATAGACTGCCATAATTAAAGGGACCATTCCATATGCCAATTTACCATTAAGAGGTTTTTGCCAGTAGTTATTACGTTTGGCAGGCGGATCAGCGACCGCAGTTTGTCTTTTGGTGATGTTTAAAGTGGAACGCTGCTGCTCATACCTTGACCATTAAGTAATTATCATTTGGATCTTATCTACTAGCAACAAAACATAGCTTTGCTCGCTTGAATATTTAATTAATTTCTTATTAGATTTTGATCATTAATATATCGCCATAGCGCGATCGTCCTAATATAGTAGGTAGGAGTAAAGCAAATATATGAAGATAGTTTTAATAATTTGTTAATAGCTTTAGACTCCTATACGGATAACTGTGTAAATTTTAAGTCGGTTTCTACAATAGAAACATAAAACCAATTAAAATTGTATTGATATTAAACTCTATCTTTTACAGCAAGACGATTCTTATCTTAGTTGGTCAAGAAGATTGGATCAAAATAATTGGTATCAAGAGCGGGATGAAGATTCTCGCGAATATCCAAATAGCTGGCCAACACAACAATCTGATGACGATATACAAACATATGGATTATCACAGCGACCAGACGTGCGCCCCTTATTGCCGGAACCCCAGCGACCACCACAACCGTCACAGTCGAACCAATATTATAATTTCGAAATTTTCGACCCTGTCACTAAGCAACGAACGACTGCTGATCGGAATTGCACAGCGCCAGGTTGTTGTGTTCCCAAATGTTTCGCTGAAAAAGGCATGAAGGTAATATATCCAAAATTCATGTATTTATATATGCATTATGGTATATTTCTCAACTTTATATGGACTGCTGGCGAGTGTACACACAAACAATTATAAAAAAGAAATCTTAACATACAAATTTTTCAACCCGTTGTATAATATTTCCCGGTTAGTTACAATTCTTTTTGAAGTATATACTATATATATAAATTCCTACAAAGAACGTAACATTTTTTTAAAGTAACCCAAAATCCAATTTAAAAAATTACAAGATCTTAAAATTCTGTTCTTGGTGTACTTATAAATAAATAAATACACTATTTTTAGTGTCTGTAATCGATATAATAAACCAATGCAAAACTATATTAAATTTTTCTTTTTAAAGTCATGCTGAGATTATAAAGTCTTTGTAAGACAAACCATTAAAAGATAATAAAAACTTCACATTAGGTATTTACAGTATTTTAATTTTCTATATTACCATTGCTTTGTTGAGGAATATTGTATCCCCAAAACAAAGAAAAGAATGTAAGGCAATTTGTGTATCCATTATTAAATTTTAAAAGGTTAAGAGTCATGAAATCTATATTTTCACATCTATAAAAAAATAGCCATAGTCATAAAAATAGTAGAGATGAATTTACGAGTATAGACTATTTTTAATTAATTAATATTATACTAGAACCTGTTTAAATAGATGTATTATTTTGCAGGGAAGACCTGGTTTTCCAGGTCCTCCAGGCCCGAGAGGATTACCAGGACACGAAGGTGTAGAAGGTCCTCAAGGTTTAAAAGGTCAAAAAGGACAAATGGGACCTCAAGGACCACGAGGCCCAAAAGGAGACCGCGGGAAACCTGGAGAGAGAGGGTTTGTTGGTTCCACAGGACCACCAGGTCCTCAAGGTGAACAAGGGTTTCCTGGTATTCACGGCAGGGATGGCTGTAATGGTACAGATGTAAGTGTAGAATGCTTTCTTTTATGAAATCTAAACACTTCTCAATTAATATGACCTTTTATAACCTTTATATATTTTTTAATATACAGGGTCCACCAGGTCTTCCAGGTCCGCAAGGAATAACTGGGCCTCGTGGTATTCCAGGACCCAAAGGTGAAAGGGGCGATAAAGGAGAACCGGCTTTTACTCCACGTCTCCCAAAAGGTCAAAAGGGCGAACCTGGAGAACCTGGTTTGATTGGAAAAGATGGCCCTACTGGTCCTGAAGGACCTAAGGGACCGCGAGGACCAAAAGGATATCCCGGCCCAATGGCAAGTTATTTGTTGTTTATAATTCACCGCTTTCTAATGTTAGAAAATTCAAATAACTTATACTTACGTAAATGTTTACGTACCTAAATAGATAAAATATATATATAAGACAGATAATATAAAAATAGATTTGGAAAATTCGAATTAGAGTGCTTGTACATCGTAGTAAGTATAATAAAAATAGATAATAGTCACTTAACACAAGAATGACATTTATCCTGTAATGCGATTATCATTCTTTTCTTATTGATTTTTAAATTAGATTGCGCACTTAAATTTGGTAAAAAATTTGGTTTAAAAGATAGAGGATGAAATATTATATTAAAAATTATGCATATAATATTATTTCCAGCATAAAAATCTCGTATCATGATGTACATTCAGATTAATCTCTTAAACCGTTCAACCAATTTTAATGATATTTCATTATCTTGCTTCGTCTTGAGAAAAAAGATAGTTTTTACAAATAAGTGACCCATATCAATAATGCAATGGTTGTCAGTTCAGCTAGTATACCATTTACATATAGGTAAAAATAAAAAATGTGCATGTAATAATTACTAACGTGTCGGAAGTAATAATTACTTAATAACTGATAGGAAAGTGAAAAGTTATAAATGAATAAGAGGTGGGTATCACAACTATTAAAATTAATTAAAATTTGAATGAATGAATGAATGAATATACTTTATTTGCATTATACAATATAGGAAATAAGCAAGGGAATTTATATACACAACAATACAATATAAATTTATGTAAGTAATAGAAATAACTGGTCAGGTGTCAGTTGAATTCATACGCTGAGGATTCCGTATGAGATAAAAATTACTTCTATCGCATATGAAATAGACATCTAAACGTTATTATTATTGATATTAGCATTAGTAAATTATTTTGGGTCATACTTATGATTAAAAACTGGGCTACATAACTAAATTTCCTTTTGGTGATTTTTTGATAATTTCTCAAAAAATGGTGGCTTTGTGAGAAGCATGGTTTATTTTTTTTCATATTTAAATATATTTTATAATTTGTAATTCTTTCAGATTTTTTGGTTCACAAATTTTGAAGTTAAAGAGGGGAGAGGTTTATTTCATAACGAAAATTTAATTAACATAATAATAAATAAAATCAGTTTTAAAATGAACAAATAAAGCACTTTCATTTGATATCGCACTTGAACTGAACTATTAGATCAATTTTGAAATTTTGTGTAGCCCTTTTTGACTTTTTAGCAAAGAAAATAAAAATAGTTTTCAATTATTTCCATTGCAATATATGTGGGTCAATAATATGTAAAGCTATTTCAAATTTTAAATCGATAGCAATATTAGTTGCTGAGATATATCGCTGTGACATACGGACATAAAGAGACAAAGTTGCACCGTAAAAGTTCTCTTGTACTGTTTCGGTAAAGAACCTTAATAATATCCTAAGGTAGAAAATAAAATAATTTCATAATATACTATAGAAGATTATATTATGCACGATACTTTCGTCTCAGTTTATCTCTAAGTCAGAAAAAATATCATATGTTTTAGGGTTTACCAGGAGAAAAAGGAGACAAAGGAGTTAAAGGTGCAGAAGGTCAAGCCATACGAGGTGATAAAGGTGAAAGAGGTGATAAGGGAGAAAGGGGGCCAGATTGTCCAGAGAGAAATTCAGAAGGATTTACTTATTCTAACAAAACTAGTACTGGTTTTCCCGGAGATACTGGAGAAAAGGGCGATAAGGGGTCGTCTGGGAGACCAGGAGAAAAAGGAAATGCTGGACCGGTGGGTGAACCAGGTCGTCCAGGTGCAATGGGTAAAAAAGGATCAAAAGGCATCATAGGAAATCCTGGGGAAAGGGTAAGTTTTTTTATGATAGTTATTATTAACAGCAAACAAATTGACGGCCTACCTGATATAAAGTGGTAACCGTCGCCCACCTTCGATGAACTATGGCATATATGAGTACATCACAGAATATATTGTAATATTCATGGTACTCCTCATAGGAAGCTGCTTCTGAGGCCTAATGTGTTATGCTTTTGTATCCTATAATTTCCCTGTCATATCCCATCCTTAAAACTGAAACAGAGCCATACAATCATAGCTGCTTTACGGGAACAGTTCGATTGACTTTGTAAATCCATAATTTATAATACATTACATAGCTTCGCATATTCTGAAATCATATTCTGAAGATATCTCCTACCATATTCTGAAATAAAATCTACCTAGATGTATTTTGTTTTTTTTTTTTTTTGTGTATAGGCTCTTACCTCTGAATTAACGGATATGGAAGCGTGCATGTGATACCGCTAAATGAATTAGCGACGGTGTAACTTCATCTAGTGGACGTCATCCTACACTGCTGTTGCTCGTATAGGGTTGTTATATTTAAAAACCTTTCATCCCTATTGTTTGTCGGTTCTTCGAACTATGTGACCAGCCCATTGCCACTTCAGCTTGCATATCCCTCGGACAAAGTCGAATTGTATTATAGTGTATTGCTTCTGAATAAAATTGTGTAATTACCTGAAAGACTGTAAAAATAAACGTGATGGTGGACTGTAGTATATCCTCGAGGACCTCACTAAGGATGGTGTGCGTGCTTTATAAATGCTTCCAATAATAATTTTCAATATGGGATATATTAATGTCCGTATCTAAAAATATTGTATATTTCTTCAAGTCGTTAGTAATCGTATTTTTTTTTTTACAAATTAGAATGGCAACAAGCTGACGGCCCACCTGATGGAAAGTGGTAACCGTAGCCTATAGACATGAGCAGTTTATTAGTATTAGTAGTTGCCGATATATAGGACTCTGTCAGATGGACGACCGGATTCTTTTATAACTTTCTTCTAACCTAACCTAAAAAATTACAGATTGGTTTAATTCCACTCTGTATTCCTTCTATTACTACTTTTGTCATAGCAGCCATGACAACTTACTTAATAATAAAAAGGGCTGTGTGGTTTAAATTAAAAATAATATCTGAATAAATTTAATTTTGGTATTGTTTTTTTTTAAATTAATATTACCAAAACTATTCTTCTTTATTTTTAATGCTCATTCAACTTTTAATATAAAATTAGATGATATATAATTTATAATCGTATTACAGGGTCGAGACGGAATGTATGGGAATCCGGGCCCAATGGGTTTAAAAGGGGATAGAGGTAATGATGGTTTACCTGGATTACCTGGAAGACCCGGAAAGGATGGAGAGCCCGGTAGGGATGGTCCGCCAGGCCCAAGAGGTATTCAAGGAGTACCTGGTTCACCTGGCGGTCGAACTGGATCTCGTGGACCACCAGGTCCAACGGGACCAAGAGGTTATCCAGGACCAATGGGACCTAAAGGTAATGATGGAAGACCAGGTGAAAGGGGACCTCCAGGACCGATGGGTCAACAAGGAGGACCTGGCATACCCGGAAATCCAGGAACTGAAGGACGACCTGGTCAAAAAGGCGAAAAGGGAGAACCTGGCAATGATGGGCCTTCAGGAGTAATGGGACCAAGAGGATATGATGGCCCAAGCGGTCCTCAAGGACCAATGGGTCCCAAAGGTGAAGACGGGGTTACTATACCAGTAAGTATTTTTATGGAGAAAAGACGTATTTATGTTTTGTTTTGACAGTTTATATATTGATATATGCGATTCAATTAAAAAAAATGATAAAGTGAATATTTACTTACAACTATTTTCAAAGTATAAGTTTACAAACGTACGTAAAAAAATATTTTTTAAAAATTAAAGAGAATTCCCTTTTTTTCGGAGAGTTTTTAGTGATTCTGCACCGAAAACCTAGACGGGTATATCTCAGATTATATAGATAGAATACCTCCGTACAAATGCTTCATTGAAAACAGACCAACTTTTTTATCCATATGTACGTGAACAGTGTTATTATAATATATATTTACTACTCAGTATATGAGACAAATTATATTGAAAGTTTAAAAAAAGATAAATTCTTATGAATATATTTGAAAGAACAAGGTAAACAATGCATAATGATTTTAATGATGCTTATCTTTACTGATTGCTTTGATTTATATCCAAATATAGACATATAATATGGATTGGATTTAAAATCATTCAAATGATCATCATTTTAATTAATACATGTATATTAATTTGTAACCAATACGAATATATGTATATATCAGACAAAATAGTTTCGAATTTAAATTTAAAAAATCAATTTAGTCTGGATAATTTTTAATCCAGTAACTTGCAACACTGAAATAACGGTGCATTCTATATTGATTTAATCAAATTATATATGTGTTAATAGTAGTAGTTAATTATTGACACGTTTTTGATACTATGCTGTATATTTATAATCTAGGGCGTAACGTACTCCTATCACAGTCACTAGATATTAGATTCAGGATGATATAGTTTTAGCTAATATTGATAAAATTTGCATGATTTTGCAATTTTGTTTTCATTGTTTACAGATCTATGATTTTAAGCACATGTAGTGTACGCGAACAATTAAAATATATTTTTTTTCATCAGATATGTTTAAGATTGATACCAATCGTAATAAATCGCAATAAAACAAAAAAAATAAAAGCAAGTTGAAAATAAAATGTAGGCAAACTTTATCCTCCATCCAGTAGCTTACAAAGAAGTATTATTATTAAGTATATATTATATGAAATTTAGTTCTATTAATTTTTTTAAATTTTAGAATTCTGTTGTAAAAGCACAAAATTATGCAAGAAAATAAAATGTTTATTTTATAAATATATAATATTTATAAATATTTAAAAAAATATTTACTGGCACCACAGTTGTTGAATATGATCTAGTATTCATATAAATTTCGTTTTATTTGTGTTAGGTAATATAAATATTTATTATGTTACAGGGTGAAAAAGGAAACAGTGGAATACCTGGATTATCAGGTCAGAAAGGCCAAAAAGGTGAACGAGGTTATCCAGGTGTAAGAGGTGTTCCAGGAGACTCGAAATTGGGAAGACCAGGTCCACCAGGTTATACTGGAATACCCGGGGAGAAAGGTCAAAAAGGTCAGCGAGGTATGGACGGAATACCAGGTGGACCAGGACCCAAAGGAGATATTGGTGGTCGTTGCAACGAATGTTGGCCCGGAATACAGGGACCAAAAGGCGACCGTGGCTTAGATGGTTTGATTGGGCCCGTAGGAGAACGTGGTCCACCAGGACCTATAGGTGTACCTGGCGAGCGAGGAGATGATGGTCTCGATGGAATTCCTGGACCCCCAGGACCTCCGGTACGTTAAAATAAGTATTATTACACAATATACATAAGCATAATTATTAAATATTTTTCAGTGCTACACCATTCTAAAGAATATTTTCGTAAACGATACCATCAAATTAATAACCTTTACGTTTTGTATATTTAATGATTCAATCGATCAATTCTCATAAAAAATACACAAGATTTTGTTGGGCTAAATTAGGTGTATGAACTACAAAATTTCGTTGAAACTCTTTCAACCATTTTCTTTTGATGAGACAACAAACAGACAGATAGATAAATATCTGAAAACCCAAGTCAATTTCTGCGAAAATAAACTCCTTCGACTCTTACAATTTTGCCTATCCATTATAGCTAGAAGAAATATACAATATTGTATAAGTCATAAAAAGGTTAATTAATGTAATTGGAGACGATAGATCTTTTTTCCACAAGAAGAAGATATTCGCCTACATAACTATTCTAATCGTGTAGGGATTATATTTTTCTTTAATTAGTTTTGCTCTTTGTTTGCCTAATGGTCTTTTAGTACATTTTAGAAATGAAAAGGAGTGGTGTTAAATTTAATTTACTCCATTGGCACACGAACTATTTTTTATTTCGGTAACGCAGAGGATATAGGATAAATCTTTAAAATTCTTGTTCTATACTACTTTTTGTTAATATAAAATTTAATTCTAAATTAAAACAAGAATCGCTTGAATAATAAAGAGGATTTTAAGTAAATGAAGTTTTTATGAAACAATTAAAACTATATATTTTTTATACCACGAATACATTTTTTTTTCTATACTTAAAATGTATCTAATATTAATAGCATACTTTTTATATTTAATATTAAGATAATAAGTACCTTTAATATTATTTTTAAATTATCTAGGATATATATTTTTATAAATATTAAAATTATTAGAAATCATACTACAAAAAAACGTTTAACATCTGATTATAATTAAATATGCGTTAAACAATGTCTAAACATACGAAAGGTTGTCTTATTATAACATTAGGCATATAAAATTGCAAATAAACATCATCTATAAATATAAATTAACAGCTAAATGTATCGCTAAGCGCAAAACTAGAGATTGGCTGAGCCAAATCGTAAATTTTTTAAATACTAACATAAATTTAAAACATAAAAAACACAATTTTTCTTTATCCCATACAAACTATTCGTAGACTAACTGCACAGTTAAATAGATTTTGACAAAATGACGTATGTCAAGTTCGCTAATCAACACGTTGGATTGAATGTTGAATTATTTAAACACCGGCTAAATATGTTTATCAATATGTGTTTATCAAGACTTAGACAAAGTATTGATAAACACGTGTTTAGATAAGTATGATCATACTAAAAATATAATTTAAAACAGTGTCTATCTAGATCAGTGTTTCCCAACTTTATTGTGCCATGCCATATATATTATATATTTCATGCCATATATTTCTTAATAATTTTATATGTCAAAGTCTATGATAGATATTATAATATATTGTTTTTATGATGGAAAGTGATAACCGTCACAGATGGATATGAACAGCACCATAGACATCACAGAATACACTGTGATGCCCGTGGTATCCTTCATGCGTTACCATTCTTGAGGTGTAATTTATTATGACTCCGTACAGTAATTTAAACTTAAACACATTATATTTTCAATAAGAGAAAATTTCTTTTATTTAGGCATAAAACAGATGTTAAACTCTTTTGTATTAGGACGTTTAAACATGTATTTAACGTCTGTTAGTTCAACTTTTTGATGTAATTTTGTAATAAGGTCGTGCGTATTTACATGTCGAATTGTCGGAACAAGCACCAATTTTCACAGAATTAAATCGGTAAAATCTTTCAAAATTGGCAACATAATCACGTAACATAGGCACAATGATATGAATATATAGAATAGGTCACCACTCCTTTAAATTTTTAAAATGTAGCAAGAGACGACTAAAAAACAAAGTATAATAAATCAGTGTAGAGAAGAAAAACTTCTTTATAGAAGTTTTCCTATTCTATTCCATACGTTTTTTTAGTGGGTTAAAAATTAAATGACAACCCCGCCTGTGCTATCTATACACACTCAAGGAATATCAGTATAATAAATGTTAGGTCAGTTGGCTTATCATGACAATTGCAAATAAAATAACCACAATAGACACAGGGGGACTGCGTTGAGATCGACTATTACCGGAAAGTTATATTGCTAGCCATGGTGCCATTGATCTCATCATTCACTCATATCTCTGGGTTTACCCTCCGATACATTATACAAAAACGTCATGTATCATGATTGTCCCTAATACTTTTAGTACTATTATTTGTATTGTGCCCATACTCAACGGCACTGTACAGTACGCTAATTATCACAGCATTAGTGCGTCACTAATTAGTGATTTATTAAAATAAATTCTTTCTATTCCTGTACTACTCCTATTATAAATGTAAAAGTTTGTAAGGCTGTTTGAATGGGTTTTTTTTATACTTTTTCACATAGAAACTAATAAATAGACTTGAATGAAGTCGGAGGAAAAAAATAACCCTCTCGTATACGTGGAATTCAGACGTAGGAAAATCAAAGAAATAGATCACTTCCGGATACGGTATCAAAATAGATTTTAAGACAGATCTTTAGGTGAAAATCATACTGTGAAAATCATATCCAATTTGTATACAATAGTTTTTGCGTGATGCTGGAACTAACATATAAATAGATAAAATGTCTAAAAAATATTATTTAGATATCCATTGCTCTTAGTAAGATGAGGGATATTAATTTTGTTTAAATATACGCCGGCATTATATAGTTACATTTTATTATATTAATTAAAATATTTTTTTTAACAGAAGTAAAATTTCTATAATTATTAGGGCGAACGTGGCGATGAAGGCCCCATAGGAGCACCTGGTCCACCTGGAGCGGACGCCCCTGCAATATATAATATAGTAAAAGGCGAGAAAGGAGAAAGAGGAGAAAGAGGAATTCCAGGTCTTCAAGGAATTAAAGGCGAACAAGGAAGTAAAGGTCGAAAAGGAGAACGAGGTGAAATTGGTTTACCGGGTCAAAAAGGAGATATTGGTAGAATGGGACCACCTGGAGCAGATGGTATTCCTGGAGCAAACGGAGAGCCAGGATTAAATGGTGCTGATGGACTCAGTATTAAAGGAGAAAAAGGTGCACCCGGAGAATATGGGTTTAAAGGAGATAAAGGATTGCCCGGAAGAATAGGTCTGAAGGGAGAGCCAGGAAGTTGTCCTCATAATTTAGAGGAGATGATAAAGGGCGACAGAGGTGCGCCTGGACCTCAAGGACCACAAGGACCGCAGGGTAATATATGTATTATTATAATTTATTGTTTCTTTATCTGATTGTTAAGAATCAACTTTGACAAGAGTACATAAAGGTAACGTAAAGGTCGATCTGTATTTACCTATTTGAAATAAACAAACTTTTGTCTAATGAAATAAAAATTATTATGAATTTGAAAGTTTGTTAAAGTTTTTGTTATTTTTTTTTATATTGATTACATTTTCATTTACAAGAGTTAGAACACTTTTTATCTTAATTTATGAGGGCAAAACTATAAGTTATAGCTAGTATTCTATTTTATTCTAATCCATGATGTTTCACTGCTGAGCAAAGTTCTCATTCTCATCAAAGATAATTTTTAAAAAAGCTTTTGTTCTGCGCTCCTATAAGTATTCTTTTTTAAAAGCGTACACCTGGCGTGTATGTGTTGTAATATATTGTTTTATATATTGGCAGCTTTAGTTTAGAGTTATATAAGAAACATTATAAATGTTTTTATTACTATTAATAAAATAAATGTCAGTTCTATTACTCCGTACTAATAATTTTACGATCATTTTTCAAGTAGCTGAGGTAAAATGATAATATTATATTCTGACCAACACATTTATACCTAATCTTATTAATATTTGTTTTGCAGGAATACCTGGTGAAAAGGGGGATCAAGGAGATTCTGGCTATCCTGGAGATAAAGGTATAGCTGGTGCACCTGGTAGAGAGGGTCCTGTGGGTCCACGAGGTCTTCCTGGACCACGAGGTGAAAAGGGAGATACAGGCCCGATAGGTTTTCCGGGTACAACTGGTGCGACTGGTCCCAGAGGATTTGCCGGTATACCAGGTTTAAAAGGAGATAAAGGTGAAACTGGTCTCTCAGTAGCAGGACCTCCAGGATTACCTGGTAGATCTGGAGCAAAAGGTGATAAAGGATTAAGAGGATTACCTGGTAAACCTGGCAATGATGGGCTTCCTGGGCAACAAGGTTGGAAAGGTGAAAAAGGTGATCAAGGATTGCAAGGACCTTCTGGACCTCCCGGATGGCAAGGAGAAAAAGGAGAACCTGGTCCAATAGGACAAATTGGACTTCCAGGAAAGGATGGTACACCAGGTATACCAGGACTAAAAGGAAACAGGGGATTGCCAGGATTACCAGGAAAACCGGGAATGATTGGCTTACCAGGTGCTAAAGGAGACCATGGAGCGCCGGGTCTAGAGGGTGAAAAGGGTTTCCCAGGTCCACGTGGAAGACCCGGGCCCCCTGGAAAGCAAGGTTTAGCTGGAGCCCCTGGTTTAAAAGGAGATAAAGGTTTACAAGGCTATAAAGGTGATAGAGGTATGCCAGGCCTCACTGGAACACCAGGATTAGAAGGTTTACCTGGCGAGAAAGGTGATAAAGGTGCCGATGGCCTTCCAGGACAATCCGGATTTCCTGGTCTACCTGGTATTAAGGGAGATAAAGGTCTTCCAGGGTATCCAGGACAGAAAGGAGAACCAGGTTTAGCATCAGATAGAGGAGACAAAGGAGAACCTGGTAATCCTGGACTACGAGGATTACCAGGAATTCCTGGTCAAGATGGAGAAAAAGGAGACAAGGGAGATGTTGGTCCAACTATTACAGGATTTCCTGGTATTCCTGGAAGTAAAGGTGACATTGGAAGACCTGGTATAGATGGCTATCCTGGAGAACGTGGCGAAAAAGGAGTAGCTGGATTGCCCGGACTTCGTGGGGAAAAAGGTGACAGAGGTTTGCCTGGTGTAAGCGGAGCTCCAGGTCCACCCGGCATGGATGGTGAACCAGGTATTCAAGGAGAACCCGGATTTCCCGGTAGAGAAGGAGCTAAAGGTGATAAAGGAGATCGAGGTTTCCCAGGGAGAGATGGTTTTAATGGACTCAAAGGAGAGCCAGGACCAATAGGTCCACCAGGTTTAAAAGGAGCGATCGGTTATGTAGGTCCAAAAGGAGATCAGGGCCCTCCAGGTCTTCAAATAGATATAAAAGGAGACAAAGGTGATATTGGACCACCTGGTCTTCGCGGTGAAAAAGGTCAAAAGGGAGAAAGAGGTTTTGAAGGAGCTCAAGGTTTGCAAGGTGATAAGGGTGATCGAGGATTTACAGGTGAAAAAGGAGAAACAGGATTGATCGGTTACGAAGGACCAAAGGGTATGTATATAAATTAATTAATATGTACTAACAACCTATCACAACTTGTATGAGTTTCTATCTTATGAATTTGAATTATAGGTTCAAATTAATGAATACCTACAGAAGCATTAGACGCGTAACAAACATAGTAATGCGACGCCGCGAATCTTGCATTACGTCGTAGTGAGCAGCGTTGAAAATCAGGACTTTAAATTTGTACTATACTGTATGAAAACAATTGGACTAGATTGATGGAAAAATCAGTAATGCACTCATTTTTCAATGACCAACTGCAATTTTTAATTTTTTTTTTAAAACGTTTGTTACCGAATTCTTTTTTAGGATCCCGTATCAAAAAGGTACAAAGGAACCCTTATCGTACAACTTTGTTCATCAGTACGTCTGTTCGCCTATTATAGTACTTCAGCATTTACGAATACTATCAATTTCAAATTTGGAATAGATTTAATATTGTTTTTATTTTCTTTTTTACTAAGGGTCCAATATGGTACACAAAAGTTAAAAAATTTGCTTACTAGTCCAAGTGGAGTCTGTAAGGGCTTCGTTTATTTAAATTTAAAAATTAATAATTTTTGTATCTCGTGTAGCAGTACGTAGGTAAATTCTTACTTTTTTTTCGGTCAATTGTTCAAATATTTATTTACTTCCATTATATTTTATCGTGAAATACATAGTTCTAGGTTAAGTCTTGAATTGCAAGTAATAATTAACTGTTTTAACGGCATTTTGTAACCCATATAAGTAAAATTAAAAGTAAAAACACAATTATTTTTCTATTCTAAATATTATGTACGAGAAAGAAAGAAGGAGCACACAGTTTTTTTATGATAATATTATCAGATAAAATATTATTTAATATTTTTTCACATTTTAGGAGACATGGGTCCTATTGGTCCTCAAGGCAGAGCTGGAAAAGATTGTCCATGTGAAAAGGGGCTACCAGGTGTACCAGGAAAAAATGGTCACCCAGGAGCGCAAGGGGCGCCTGGTGAAAAAGGCGACCAAGGTTTACCTGGACTTCCAGGACGAACAGGAGATCCAGGTGTACCAGGTTCACCAGGTCGCATGGGTGAAAAAGGTGACAAAGGTAGTGAAGGTATTGCCGGGCCTCCAGGAGATGAAGGTCCACCTGGCGCTGACGGTCTTCCTGGCCTCATAGGTATTAAAGGTGATAAAGGAGATAAAGGTGCCACTGGGTTTGGCGCACCTGGTAGAGTAGGTGATAGAGGATTACCAGGTTTACCTGGGGAAAGGGGACAAAAAGGCAGCAAAGGTGATCGTGGCATGGATGGAATTCCTGGTGAACCGGGTCCTCAAGGTTTAAGAGGAGAAAAGGGTGATAGAGGGGCAATTGGAATACAGGGTTTTCCTGGTGTTCCAGGAAAAAAGGGTGACAAAGGTGAAAGATCTCCAATCGTTTATGGTGAAAAAGGAGAACAAGGACTTCCAGGTCCTCCAGGTCCACGTGGCCTACCTGGTGAAATGTGTAAAGATGGGCCTCCAGGTTTAGATGGATATCCAGGTGAAAGAGGTGAACCAGGCTTTCCTGGACCACCTGGACCTATGGGGCCTCCTGGACCACCGGGTCGGGAAGGATTACAAGGCGAAAGAGGTGAAACGGGACAAGTTGGCTTACAAGGTTTGCCTGGAGCACCAGGTGCCCCATGCACTAAAACGGATTATTTGACAGGAACACTTTTAGTACGGCATAGTCAGTCTGTTGAAATACCCACTTGTGATACGGGTCACATAAAATTATGGGACGGATATTCGTTACTGTATATTGAAGGCAATGAACAAGCTAATAACCAAGATTTAGGGTATGCTGGCTCATGTATCAGAAAGTTTAGTACAATGCCATTCCTATTTTGTGATTTAAATACTGTATGCCACTATTCAAGTAGAAACGATCGAAGTTACTGGTTATCTACTAGCGAAGCATTACCAATGATGCCGGTAGAAGGTTATGATATTGTAAAACATATTTCAAGATGCGTAGTTTGCGAAGTACCAGCCAACGTGATAGCCATTCATAGTCAAACACAAGACGTTCCTGATTGCCCTGCTGGCTGGGACGAGATGTGGATAGGATACAGTTTTGCTATGGTAAATATTCAAACATTTATTTTTTTATTGCCAACTATTTTAGTTTTAATATCCAGGGTTAGTCGTAATGGTTATCCTAAGTCAAAATTCTACTGAGTTTCGACTACAGCTATCACTAGTACTATAAAAATACGAGTACTATCACGAGTATCTATTGCTTGTTTCAATAAAATTTAATGAAATGGTAACTAAGCGTTTTTAAAAATATCACGTCTCTAAATAAAATTAGTAATAAATTGAGCCCTTAATCAGTTAATCGATTTTGATAGGACCTATGTACCTACTTATATTATTTATATAGATTATATAGATACAAATGCTTCGAGAAAAGCGTATCAACTTTTATACAATTTTGAGTGATAAATAGTTATAAGTGATTCCTTTATCCGAAAAACCCATTTTATTTATTAAATAATTAAATATAGATACGTCAAGATACATTCTGTGTATAAGTAAGTAGAACAAGTCAACTAATTTGACAATTAGCTAAAAAGTTGTTGAAACAAAAAGTTGCCCCGTTTCTACGACTCGATCTATATAATCTTAGTTATTGGATATCAGCAAATTGTTTTATGGTCAGATCTATTATTCGATTGTTTTACACTTTTTAAATTCTTTGGCAACAAAGTATATTAGCCGGAATCTGAGAAAATATTTATTTTATTTTTTACACAGACAGTATGGTCACGTAATCGGTTTAGTATGAAAGGTTCTGCAATTATTACAGGTTTTAGACTACAGTTCTTAAAGCAAGTTGTTTAGTTTTATAGATAGATAAATACTCTCATTGGCTTATTTAATATTACTTTTCAGAGGCGAGGGGGTAGTCCCTTAAAGTAAGGCGATTATATACTCTTAGATATGTCTTTGCGTATGTCATTGTGGGTTGAGCACCAAAGAACTCTATGGTGGGCACGGTCCAAACAGCCTTAAATACGCACATAAATACTATCACTTAAATTCGGCTTGATATATTTATTAAAACTAATTCTAAAAAATATTGAAGTTTTCTAAAAAATCTACATGGAATACTTAGGAATTTTGTAAATTACTGTGGTAAATGTTATTTTATACTTGCTACATTTGACTGTGCGCATTCCATCCATAATTAGTATCATACGTCGTAGTGTATGTATACTGTGAAAATGTGATGATGATATTGCTCATAAATGACAATACTATTTTCCGTTAGGTTATAAGCTTGTTTACCATTTCAGTTTCTGTTAAAAATATATATTAAGTAATTTTAATAGTAGGGACCTAATAACAAATGTAATTTTCAGCATACTGGAGCTGGTGGTCAGGGTGGTGGGCAAGCCCTAGCGAGTCCGGGCTCGTGTTTGCAAGACTTCCGTACATCACCATTTATAGAATGTAACGGAGAAGGTGGTACATGTTATCATTTCGCGAATAAGCTAAGCTTTTGGTTAACAACCATAGAAGACAGAGACCAATTCTCAACTCCTCAACGATCAACTTTAAAATCTGGAGATGTGATGACGCGTGTGTCACGGTGTGTTGTCTGCATTAAAAATACATAGTGAAACATAAATATGCGTATATACGCACAGGTTAATTGGTGTGACATGTGTACAAGACGCTTCTAACTAGACATAGACGTTACTACCTATTTTGGATTGTACGTGACCAATAGTGATGTTGCTACCAAATATTAAGTTACAGTCGTCAATATAATAAATAAAATGTAAGAAATATTATTTCAAACTATTGGCTTTCTCTCAATAATGTCTAAATCACAAATAAAATTATCAACACACCAAAGCAAGGTAAAGTTAAGATTTATAATTTAAGTAGGTACCTATAGTCTATTTATATAATATCTTTAATAGTATGTATAACAAATGTGATTTTGTCCTGTGGATCAGTTTTTGTATATTACTACTTAAATCGTTTTATGTAAATCTTATATTCTCCTAGTCAGTGCTATTTCAGATTACTGTATTTCAGATTCATGAACTGAATTTGTGATAAAACATTTTTTTTTAATCGCCTGAATCTATGTTGAATTATCAACTATGTTAAATAATGTAACTAGGAACAAGGAATTGGAATATATATTTATCAAAATGCGTCAACATAATAAACTATTCACAATAATAGGGTAGTGAAAGATAAGTGATGAAACACTGCCATTGTAGATAGATTAATAATACAAATAAATGAATTAGAATACTTTCTTAATAAATAAATTTGATTTTTGTTTTGCATTTTTATTGAGATACCTAATGAAAAATCAGAACATTGTGGCACAGTTCTTTTAGTATCATTTTAATTTTATGGTGATTGCAGCTGCTGTATTTCTTTGTGAAGCAAAACTACCTGTTGCGGTGTAAAATCTATACTTAAACATGAAATATTTACAACGTAGGATAATATTTATAATCTCAAAAATAACTCATAGGTGTGTAGTATCTACAAAACATCTTATAATTTATCGTTATGGAGACTATAGATGTTTTTACGATTTAATAGCTTTTTTTGCAATACAATACGGACATAAGCACTTGTTAACTATTAAAAAATTAAAGCGGTATGCCTTAGAATCCACCGTTTTCTAAATGATTCTATATGTCTCTTTTTAATATTATAGTAATTTTGTTATAGCTTAGCGGTTGATAACTGATCAACTACCAATCGATCAGTTACGTCACGGAGTAAGAATGAAAACGAAGCCGGCCTCATTTCTCTCACTCTCTATACAGTTTTCGTCCATTTTTTTTTATTTGTGTCTCAGTCGTGTCAGTGACTACCATCATCATATCATTTTAACTTTTCAGTGCAACTCTCATGTTAATTTTGTTCTCATAGTGAATTTATTATTATTTTTAAGTTGCTATTAAATGGTCATTGGTACTTTGGACAAGGTATCCCCGCATTGTCATGCATTTAAATTTAAAAATGAGCCTGTCGGGATGTGTTGCTCATAAAGAAAATGCAACTAACGGAAATTGAAACACCACCACCTGAACCATTGTACGGCTTACTTATCGGTACGGATCCAGATTCTATCCTTTTCCTAAAGTCAATTCGCATATTAAATTCATGTTTTCAAATGGCATCTTTCCTTGCAACAGAAATAATTCAAAATATTGCTGCAAACGGACAAAAATTTTATTCTACGTTCGAAATCAAAGACCAAGTTTAATGCCAAGCGAATCTCATAAATTTTTACTTTACTTTATGGGTGGCGAGGATTCCGAATGCGCACTTGCCAATCGCGTGGATGCACGTTACGACTACAATAACCTAAAATTCACCTTTTGCTCGGCATCGTCAGCACGCTGGACGTTCTGTTAAATGACATCCACGCTATTGTCATCAATCCTAATAAAATACCATTTAGAGAGCATATACGTAGATTCAACGCATCTGTTGTTGACGACGTTGCTGGAATCATGGTTGGCGACCGTACAGCTACGCGACAAATCGTGATTCGAAGAAAAATAATAATCTTCAGTTCATTGCTGATACCCACCGTTCATATGTCGATCTCCAATATGGTCTAATTTTATAGAAAAAAGCTAACAGGGGGAAAAAAGTAAAACATTGTACATCTGAGTGCTCAGGAATGGCAACGCATGAGGGGTATCATGGGCGAAACAGTACACTCTGTTATGTCCATGGTACTA